GTAGTGTAGGAGTGTGCGTTGACAGTATGATGGAAAAGTGATGACAGTGTATATATTAGTCTGATCAGTCAATCATTGGGGGTCCGCGATGGCATTTTGGTGGCCGGCGGCGATAGATGACAGTGTGGCGGTGATAATGTGGCAATTACAATGTGACAATGTGATTAGTGCATTATAAAATGGCAGTGTAAACTGTTATTTAGGTCTTAAAAAACTTCAGGGGCGAGTTGTTTTGGAGTGTGAAAAGTATAACCTTTTCTAGATCGATCGATCAAAAAGGAAAATGTAGACCTTTTAAAGAAAATACTTAAAACTTGTACTCTATCTGAGAAATTAAAGTGAAATACAAATACTATATTTCTTGATGAATTGAACGCCCACACATGATAACATGACACATGGTGATCAACCAGTTGCCCAAAATGAAAAAAAGAGAACAACAACCAACACAACACAACACAATACAATGCAACACAACACAACATAGGTACTGATATATGACTGCATGCATGCTCCTAATAATCAATCAGATCCCAAAAGGGATTGAAATAGCTAGGATCATGACGTATTTATTATTTTTATTGTTACTAGTAGCTGCTAGCTAGCTAGTACATGCATGGAAATGAAATGGTTGGTGGATTCAATCTGATGATGTCCACCGTCAACTGCCGGTGTCAATTAATTCACCCTGCGAATAAATTAAAAAACGTACACAATAATAATAATGAGGTAAAGAAATGCATGCTATATATGGACAACGTATGACCCAATTAAATATATACTCTCTCGTCTCATAAAGTGTTACCCATTTTGACTAAAGTTAAAATTAAGGGAGTGATAATTTTGTGTTGACTTTCCAAAAATACCCTTGATGTGATGGGTAAAATAGGATGTGATGTGTAAATTATTAGGAAAAAGGTATGATGTGATAGGTAGGGTTTGAAAAAGTAAGGGGTAAAAGTAGTTTTTTAATAGAAATGGGTAAGGGATTGTGGGACACAATTTTTTTGAAACGTGTAAATCTTTTTGGGACGGAGGGAGTATAAGAAAAGAAGAAGAAGATCGAGAACGACGAGGGCGTACTTGGTGCAATCGGTGGTCATGCTGATTTTGTAAGGAATGTTTACGCCGCATTTAGCGGGAAGGGCCTCGGCAAGATCGGGTTTGAGCCCGTTCAATTTCATGGCGGTGTTTTTGAGGCAATTGCAAGCGGTCTGGCGGTCGGGAGTGGTGCGCGCCAGGCTGTTTACTCTTGTGATGCCTTGGCAGCAAGCTGGGGGCGGCGGCGAGGCGCCGTTCCCCTGCAAGTAAGATACGCAAGACATAAGGGGTGTCACCACCTGGCCACAAGTGATGCCCGCCGCCTCACCACCGTGGGGGGCTGAAGCCACCACCAGCATGCACACCACCGCCGCCGCCAACCACACTGATGACGAGTTAATAACCCTTGCCGCCATTGCCAAAGCTGATGATCGAGGAAGAGGCCGGCCGGGAAAGTATGTATATGTATATATATTGTATAGAATACAAATTAGATTAGATGATAAATAGATAATAATGGAGGGTGTTGTTGAATTGATGCATGGACTTGAAACTAGGGGAGGGCTTTTATAGGGAGGCCGGGGAGATTATCCCATGGTTTTGTGCGTGTGAACACGAGACAAATAACTAATAATTACTCCCTTTTATTATGATGATAAATACAATGGACAAATTTTATGGTAGACCTAAAACAAAATAATTAAATAAGTATTTGTATACTACTTAAATAAGTACCCAGTATTTGTTTTTTTAAATAAAAAATAAAAATATATTTTTTTACGTCAGAAGTTCTACAAAATTGATATACACGCAAGGTGCACCAAAAAGGACTCCTAGTAATAAGCCATATTTGATCATTTGGATTGTTGCATTGATCACTTCATAAAATAGGCTAGCTAATCATGTAATCATTTTCTTTATAAACTTTTTTTGTGCAATTTTTAAATTTAATATATATATATATATATATATATATATATATATATATATATATATATTTGAAAAGTGATAAAAATAAAGGAAAAATGACGAGTACGTAGTTTTAAAAATTTTATCAAGCTTTGTTTTTGAAAAAAATAGCACCCACATCAAGCTTTATTTCAAACGTTTTTTTGAAATGCATTCTAGAGCGGGCAGGCATGACCTCGTGCAAACCTGTTTCTACACCGTGGACACCCGCGCCAGATCCCTTTCTCTATCGCTCTATTGTGGGAGCTCTGCAGTACCTCACCTTCACATGCCCGGACATTACCTATGCCGTACAGCAGCTATGTCTCTTTCTTCATGATCCTCGAGTGCCTCATGTCACAGCTATGAAGCGCGTTCTGCGCTATCTTCACGGTACACCCACCCATGGCATCACTATCTCACCATCTCAGACAGATCATATGCAAAAAAACTCTGATGCTGATTGGGATGGCTGCCCAGATACTCGTCGATCGACATCCGGTTACTGCATTTTTCTAGCTAGTATAGTATGTAGAAAATGGTAAGTTTCAAGCAAAATCTATTATCATTGAATAAAATAATGATGGAAACTATTTTAATTAATGAAAACTTAAAATAACCAATGCTAAAGTTTTAAAATAAAAATTAAAATTTATACAAAAATTTTTGAAAATTAAATTAATGTAATAAACGATGGATAGTTCTAAAAACTACTCCCTCCGTTCCTGAAAGAAGNGCCCAGATACTCGTCGATCGACATCCGGTTACTGCATTTTTCTAGCTAGTATAGTATGTAGAAAATGGTAAGTTTCAAGCAAAATCTATTATCATTGAATAAAATAATGATGGAAACTATTTTAATTAATGAAAACTTAAAATAACCAATGCTAAAGTTTTAAAATAAAAATTAAAATTTATACAAAAATTTTTGAAAATTAAATTAATGTAATAAACGATGGATAGTTCTAAAAACTACTCCCTCCGTTCCTGAAAGAAGCTCCCCTTTCGTTTTTTCTTTGTCCCACAAAGATGTTCACTTTTCTATTAAAAACCACTTTTTCCCTTTACTTTTTCATACTCTACCTATCACATCACACCTTTTTACTAATAATCTATCCATCAAATCTTACTTTTATCCATCACATCAAGGATATTTTTTAAAAGTCAACACTAAAATATCTGTCCCAAGTCAATAAGGGAACTTCTTTCGGGGTGGGAGGGAGTAATATATAATGTTGTTTGTAATTTTTTTAAATTGTAAGATATTTACGCATCACATGGTGCATTTAGATGGGAGAATATACCCATATATGAAACATGTTTTAAACTCAAGTTAGATACTTCCTTTATCCTAAAACAAATGTTAGAGTTTTCGCACTCTCAATAATTTTATATCAATCATATGATTTGGATCCTCTCTCCTTCTTCCATCATCTTAGTAAACACTAAAGAACTTGGTTTCTTTTTTCTTCTTCTTCAATTAATAATTCCTATACAAAGGTACAGTGATTAATATGAATGAATGGAAGGGATTTCTTCGAGCGAGGACCGAATTTCAAACTTATAGATACGTGCCCACGTACCAAATTGGCCAGCCTTGACAAGAAACAACAGTTTGGGCCCGCCCAGTCCTTCACGAAAAGTAATACGGAGTGTTAACTCATTTTTTAAATCGGCAAAATTAGCAAGAATATTATCAGAAATTAAAGGTTTTATATAAATACTTTTAAATTTGTTTATTTGCATTGTTACACTCGTACTTCTTTTTTATTTTCATTATTTTAGTAAGTCTTATTTTATCCTAACTAACTGAGATTATAAATCAATTTACTTTCTTTTAGCTAACTGTCCGGCTACTGCTGAGGGGCCCTCGAGAATATGGTGTCATCCTTTTTATTATTAATGATATGATAGGATCTCAAGTTTAGTTACTAAAATGAAACCCTTCAAAGTTCATTTTAACATTTTACGCACTATGCCGAGAGTATTAACATACAATTTCTTTTTATTTTTAGGAAAAATTTATCAAGAATAATCCCAACTTTACTCTTTCTTTTTAAAATAAGTAGTAGTACATTAATACTCTTTATAGTGCATAAAATGATAGAACCAGCCACTCATTATATTTTTATTTTATTTTTTACCAGTTTCAGTTTAATTTCTATATATTGATTACCTTATTTATTTCACTAACTCTTTATGGTTTTAGTTAATTTTCTCATTTTCATTATTTTTATATCTATTTTTGATTTTTTCTAAGGTAAGAATAATCTTTAAAAAAAGAAAAAGAAATGGAGGTAGAATGTAATTTTAAAGCTTTAAAAGAAAATTTCAAAAAAATTAAAAATTAAAAATTCATAAAAAATAATCCAAACTTTCATTTTGTTGCGCGAAACAGGCATTTCCGTTAACCCACCATTAGAAACTTAACGGCGACACAAAACTCACAAATTTCAGTAAAGTTGGGATTATTATATATCACAATGAGAGGTGGAATTATTTTTGAAAGAACAGATAAAGTTAGGATTATTTTGGATAATTTTTCCTATTTATATTTATCTTTATTTATATCAACTTTTTTTTGAAAATGTAGAAATTTAGCATAAACTTATCTAGCTTTCTCATTAATCACAACCATCTATATATACAAACATACAAGCGGGCTTAAGTACATGGGTGCCCAAATAATACAAATACCCGCTAACACTCCCCCTCAAATTGGCGCATGAAGATCATGAATGCCCAACTTGCACAATAAAAAATCAAAAACAGATTTTGTCAAAGGTTTAGTAAAAATATCCGCTAATTGATATCGAGTGGGAACATATCGTGTTGACACCTCGTATCGTTGAACACTCTCGCGAACCGTATGACAATCAACATCACATGTTTCATACGTTCGTGAAACACTGGATTAGCAGCAATATATAATGCAGACAGGTTGTCACAATATAACCGTGGAGGATATAAAATAGGAACCCCCAAAGCTCCAAGAATACCACGCATCCACCTCACTTCGACGCAGCCATTAGCCATGGCCCTGTACTCGGCCTCTGCAGATGATCTAGCAACCGTGGTCTGCTTCTTCGTTTTCCAAGACACTGGAGAAGTACCCAGCATAATAAAATACCCGCTAACCGAGCGGCGATAGAGTGGGCAACTTGCCCAGTTAGAGTCACAATAAGGTGAAATTTGGAGATTACTCGTAGCACTAAGAAAAATACCCTGACCTGGGTGACCTTTGTTATACCGAAGGACGCGCATGGCTGCATTAATGTGATCGAGAGTAGGTGCCTACATAAACTGTGAGAGAACATGAACAGAGTAACAAATATTTGGGCGAGAGATAGTCAAATAGATCAGGCGTCTGACGAGGCGACAATACCGAGCTGGATCATGAAGAAGAGGGGCGGTGGACGCGCGCAGGCCGTGCGTCGTCAGTAGTGGAGTCCCAGCCGGTTTACAACCCAACAATCCCGCTTCTTGAAGAATCTCTAAAGCATACTTGCGATGACTTAAGACCATACCAGAGGGGGAACGAGCACATTCAATACCCAAAAAATATTTGACGGGTCCTAAGTCCTTAAGCTGAAAATACCGATCCAAGTATCGTTTGAAAGAAGCACACATGGAAGAATCATTGCTTGCAACTAAGATGTCATCCACATACACTAAAACAGTGAGAATATCAGGTCCATGCCGGAGAATAAATAAAGTGTGATCTTTATGAGATTGCTTAAAACCCTAGTGACGAAGAGCAGTGCTAAGTTTATGGAACCAATTCCGTGGAGACTGTCGCAAACCATACAAAGATTTGCGTAGACGACATACTTTGCCCGGAATAGAAAAACCAGGTGGCAAACGCATGTAAACTTCCTCAATTAAATCACCATTTAAGAAAGCATTATTAACATCCAGCTGATGTATCTCCCAGCCTCGTGCCACAGCAACAGATAAGAGAATACGTATCGTTCCCATTTTAGCGACAGGAGCAAAAGTGTCTGTATAATCCGTACCGAACTCCTGGTGATTCCCCAAAACAACAAGTCGAGCTTTATCACGCTGCTTCGTACCATCTGAATAAAACTTGGTACGGTAGACCCATTGACAACCCAAAGCCGTTCTCCCAGGCGGAAGATCCATGATGTCTCATGTATGATTATTCTCCAAGGCGGCAATCTCCTGTTGCATAGCTACACGCCAATTGGCATGCTGCATAACCTGCTTAAAAGTCTTGGGCACCTCATGGGAAGAAACATCAGCAAGATATCCACGGTACCTGTCATGCAATTTCTCATAATGAACAAAGTTATGGATAGGATACCGAGTACTTGAAGAACGAGAAGAGGTAATGGAAGGAGCAACAGGAGTCAATGTTTGGGCTGTGTGACAGTAATAATAAGATAAATGAGCAGGGGGACGACGTTCACGAACAGGACGAGGGTGCGACGATGGACTGTCCGAGGCATTCTCACCGTCGCTATCAGAGGATGTGGGGGACTGCCCGGAGATGCTGGACTCGGGAGGACTAGATGAGGGGGACAGGTGTGGTGGATCTGCCGTGACGGCAGTGGGCAAGCTGACATCGGGCACTGGAAAATCGGCGTGCTCATGGCGCGGGGAAGAGCCGGGGGTGGA